ACCACTACTACCACTACTACCACTACTACCACTACTACCACTACCACTACTACTACTGCTACTACTACTACTACCACCACCACTATCACTACCACTACGACTACTACTACCACTACTACCACCACCACCACCACCACTACCACTACTACCACCACCACCACCACGTACTACTACTACTACTACCACTACTACCACTACTACCACTACTACCACTACTACCACTACTACTACTACTACTACTACGACTACGACTACGACTACGACTACGACTACGACTACTGCGACTACGACGACGACGACGACCTGTCCCTCAGAATTAAGTTGCTGCACGAGGTGGAACTAACGAGGTGAGGCAATATTTTCCAATCCGTAGATAACGAGGCGAGGTGCTATGCCTGCCAAAGCAAGGGATGCGGTTAAGAATTACGCACTATAATTTGCACAGACTATATTCCGACGTATTTATGCGTGCCCCCACGCCAGTCACCCCATGTTCTGATCGTCACGCATTGTCCATGTCACACATGCAAAGAACCTCCGCGTTTTCTGGGCGGTAAAGACTCCGTCAGAAAGAAACATGAGACGCAGGCAAGCGGGGGAATGCGTTTCTTGGAGGCTTGCCGTTGCACACAACACGCAGCACACAACCCTGGAAACCAGAATTCTGCCATGTCATGTCCAGTTTTTCCAAGCACGAATTAACTTGTGGATCAAAGGATCAAAGGTGTCGAGATGGTTTTCCCGAAAACAAGGTACCTCAGTCTTTTCCCGTCCGGCCAATTCTTTGTCAACCCCTTGCCGTTGACCCGTCTTCCGCCTTCGCCCCACGACGCCCGACGCGTACAACGCGTTCGCCGAACGAGGCCTCCGTGCGCAGTGTCCCCAGACCTGCAAGTGCCGCAAAGGTGAAATCGGATGCCCGGGCAGCTGTCCCTTGCGCATCGATTAGAGTGCAGTGCAACGGGCGGGCAGCTGGGTTCTTCGCCCCAAGCCGGCGCGTCTTTGCGGTGCCAAGCCGGGCAGTGCCGTTCGCCGCCCGCGTGACGACGGTGAGAATGTGATTGAGACAGGTTCCGGAGATTCCAGTGAAAGGCCAAAAAGAAGGAAACTCAAAACAGTGAAGGAGAACTTTCTGCGTTTTTCTGGAGTTGTTGATGAAGATTCTCACTCTGCACGTACTCAACTCCCATTTGGAAGAGGATGACGAAGCAAGACACGTACCAATCGCACATATCACCGACAAAAACAGCAAGAGTATGATGATGCACAACTGTTTCCCCCTGTGGATGAGATCCTTACCCCAAAGCCGATGGCCCATGCAAGGAAACTGCGAGCTTCGCCCGATTCTGTTCCCTGCTTAGATGTCGGACGCTGAATGGGTTCCCCACACTGCAGAGGAAAAGGGATCTTGCAGTCCCTAGGGATCCAGTCGTATCTTCTCAGAAGGTACTTGGACCATCCAAGCCATTCCAAACCTACATAACAGTGTCTCCAATCACCTTCTCAGAGGGTATGTGGATCCCTAGGGAGTGGTTCATGTTCCACTTCGGTGATTGTTACCAGGTTCTTCCTTGCAGGGTCACTCGCCTCGACCATCCCACACAACTTAGGACGGTGTCCAGACAGGGGCACCCATTGGAAACGCGAAGCGGACAGATTGAAAGGTTCGGATGTTGGTTCTGTTGGTTCAGATCCTTCCGATTCCGGAAACAAAGACCGCGACCCTGGACCCTCAATTTTGAGGGGGGGTTTTCGGGGGTCTCCAATCGCTTTTCAAGGACAGGTCGGGTTCTGAAGCAACGCGTTTGGCGTTTGGACGCTTTCCACTCACGTCGGGATGTCCGGATCCTGTCGTGAAGAAAAGCCACTGCTGGATACCTGGCTTCCCCAGCGGCCTCAGCTCGGGAGAATCCTGGTATAGATCAGCTAGCGAAGCCTCCGCGCGGCGCGCGCTTCACGCGCGGGTCCTTCGCGGCCTGATCGCGGCTTCCCGTTTAGGGAAGCTTTGCTGTGCACTCCCTGAAATCATCATGGACCTGGACCATGGATGAAAAACATTGAAGAACCACCACCTGTTTCATAAGGATTTCGTAGGATTTCGTCATCCGCATCTTCGATTTTCCTCTCCACTTCCGCCATGATGCGTCTTCAGTGCACACCTTTTGTACCCGAACACTCCTGATGACACTTCTCTGGCCACTGGTGCCTGCGAGCGTCACCCTGCACGCCGCAGGGTCCCTGCGGTTGCTGGACCGGCACGTCGCACCGTTCGACGCATCGACCAGACCGGTTGACCTACATGCTGTTGGTCGTGCGCGACATGGTTTTGACAGGTTTTGACCCATGTCTTTCCAGGTCAGTCATGGAATGTCAACAAGTCTTTGTGCTCCCCAAAAAAAGAGAGTGGCACGGTGTTCAAGACATGTTCTTTAGTTTGGAGATCTCAAGACGGACTGGGGTGGGTTCGAAGTAGCCTCAAACATGTAGCCTACAGACCCCCAAATGGATAGTTCTTGTTCAAGAGAGAGTGGCACGGTGGAAGATCCCATTTGGGGGTCGGTCTGTACCCAGGCGCTCCTGAGAACCGCATCGTGTTTCCACTGGGTTTGAAAGGATCTTCCTCAAATCCAAGAGGACCACTTGCTTGAAAGGCATGTAATACTGGCATCACTGGCATGATTGGTGTCATTACCAAAGACAAGACCTTTCGGGTCACATGTGCCTCGGATCTGCATCTCCTCGGATTCGACGGTGACCGGTGCTTCAGCAACCCTTGGAAAGTCCAAAGATGACGAACCAGGACGGCCGGTGGAAGCGGGGCTCCTGCACTCAAACACACGTTTATGTGTTTTGTAGAAGAAATACTTCCTTCTTTGTCCGTCGGTGACACGAGTCTCTTAGGGGGTTTGCTGATCGTCCATAGCAGCTGCTTCCGTATACAGGGTCACCAATGGACACCGCTACGAGTCTCTTATAAGTCTCTAACAGTTGGACACCCCAACAGGAGGATCCATACGGAATCGAAATCTGCACATGGAGTACATCCCAACTGTTTTGATCCGGTCGGTGTGGAGGCGACCCAGTGATCCGGTCGGTGTGGGGATCCAACTCACTGACCTCGACAGGGGATCCCAGACACGACCTATCAGGGTTCATCAGTACTTATTCCAGACACGACCTGTTTGGGACTGCGGACTGCCGCCCCTTATTGACCTCCAAAACCACCCCAATGTAGGCATATATGGCAGTCCCATGGAGTGTCTGGGTATTATACTTTGGGTCTGTCCTAGTGCCACTAACAGTCCGTAAACCATTTACTTTAGAGAACAGCCATTACTATCATTCACTGTTACTGGTAATGCGATTGATAGACCCAATATAGATGTGTGCACCTAGACTCTGAGTGATCCTTATGTTGGCGTACAAACTATCCAAAATGATGTTCTAGGCCGGTACTGGTATGACACTAGTTGAGATCGAAAGGATCAGGAGATCGACAGGATCAGGAGCTCGGTAAGTCCATCGCATTGATTCAAGCCAATACCAAGAGGAAAAGGATGCAGACATCTCCGCTCTCGTTTGTTTGAACCGTCCTCGGTCACTGGGGCCTTCTCATTTTTGTGGCAAGGGTCAACCACCAGATAGGCAAGGAAGAAAACCACATGCCCTCCTCTTGTCAGTTCAGATTTTCACCAAAAGAAAAGGGGCGCGCAGCCCTGCAGAGATGTGTTATCTTTTCAATGAGGAGTGTGCGTATCATGGGGTTATCCATCTTCCATGAAACAGCGAGCCGTTTGGAACTACAGGGAGTTCCTCAAGCCCTTGATAATAGGTCAGATCATTGGGTTGTTCAGCAGGTCCTGACAGATCTGCGCAACAGCAGGGTGATCAGAGATCACCAGCTGCCAGGTGTTTGTGGTTCTCCCTGAGGTTGGAAAGGCATCATGTTGGTTGGAGAAATATCGGCAGTACGGCTGAGATGACAACGGCTCTACGGCTCCCACACTTGAATTCCGGACCAGCAGTCACTCAAGATATTCTGACAACCTTCCTGGAATAGCAATAGATTGCATGTCATCGTGTGTAGTTGCATTGTGTATAGTATTGTCAAACGATCATGGGCCAGCAGAATGACATGGCCCTTTACTTGTACCTCCAACAGCCCCTTATTTTTGCGTCCTATATACCTCTCCTGTTGAGATTGGAAGGATGGTATGAGATGGAAGTCAAAACCAAAGAGCTCCTGAAACCAATTGATATGAACACTAACATCCGGACCATCTCCAGCCCTGCAGCTTCATTCGTCCTTCGTGTTTTCCCTGCATGGCTCCCTTCTGCGCGGAATCCAATCCCCTTGGGAACCAACGCACCACAACTGGTTTCAGCCCCGGCTCGAGTGGTGAGTGTCGTCCATCACCCCAGGCTCAATCGGATGTTCGACAAGGACCGACGAGCACAGGAGGCGTAGAGATCGATCGGTGTGGGGGAGCGGGTTTCAGTTCTTGGGGGAAGTGGGAAGGAAATCACTACAGGTCGATAACGCCAGATGGGAGTGTTCACCCCAACGGTGATTCTGAACGACCCTTCTATCCACGTGAGATTCCGCGGTCCGAAACGGCAACGAGTTGTTGCTTACAACTAGCTGGTGCTGAGGACAGCAAAGCAGCCCGGGCGTTATGTCTCATTAAGTAGGGAGCCAAGGAGCTACAGAGAGCTTCCCAACCCCTTGCTGGTAAACCATCTTGTCGACCTCTTCGCGCGAGTCACGTTCAATCTTCGTTCGGGCAGAATCCTCCAGCCTGCTCTGATGGATCGCCTGCGGAACCGACTGCGATTTGGTTCACGAGAAGCTGGACCTTTCTCCAGCACGGTTTCGAACAGGACCTGTAACATGTTCACTACAGTCACTACAGCCATCCTGTTTGGGGCCAAGCCCTTCATTTGGAGACGCCCAGTCGGCCGGCGCCTCTCCGGTGGGGCGGGGCCGGGGCGGCGGGGCCGTCGCCTGGTCAGTGGGAACACGGTGGGCCGTCGCCTTGGCCTTGCTTGGCCTTGAAAACACGATCTGTGTCAAGAAAAAGGAAAGAAACAACCGACGATCTCGAGCAACAGTTGAAGAAGGCTTTGGGATGCTTTGGGTGTTTCTCTTCTGAAACAGCGGCTCATTGACGCCAAATGGTACTGTCCAGCTTTTGCTACTTCTTGTCCAGCATTGAGAATCTGAGAGGCCACACTCTCGCACCAAGTCTAGCTCTCAACCTCTCAGGATGCAACCTCCTCGCGTCGTGGAATGGATCGGTACTTGATCACGCAGCCTTCACATGCCAAGCCGACGCTGCGGTGTCATCGACCTTCTCGAAAGCAGCAGCAGCAGCGTTGAACTTTCGCAGCTCGTCCATCCGAGCTTTCTGGAAAAAATCACCGCTTCCGGACGGCCAAACAGCAGAGTATCACCACCGGCCAACCCAGGGAGAGTATGCCTCCGAACACTCTTTTTCCCAGGTGAATAGAACCACATGGAGCCACTTCTCCCCTCAGCGAAGGGGGCGTTCTCCCCTCACTCAGCCGAAGCAAGAGGCAGGCTCGCCGCTCCCCATTCCAAATTCCATGGCTCTGACATTCTGCGCAGCAAGCTGTTCGAAGATATACCAGGACCCTCCAAGGGGTGTCTATAAATAGCCTCTTGGGTGTCCACAAGCCACCAGTTGGAAGGTCCTGGTATATTGGCCATCAATATACTGTAAAACCTGGCTGCAAAACGGTTCACCAGCCGCAACAGCTGGCCTTGCCTGTTGTACCGCTCAAGTGGTTCCCGGAAAACTGGGCAGGCATTATCAGGGGTTCTATTCGTTTAGAGAAGTCTGTTACACCTGGACCATAAAGAACCAAGACAGAATAAGGTTTGTTCTGGATTAGGCTGGCGGTTTCTGCGCGGTCTGCGAAGTTGAACATCGGGCGCCGCCACGGTCCACTCATCAAGCTCAGAAAGTATGATTTGAAAAGAAAATGTATGTTTACCTGTCATTCCCTGACAAGCCTAAAACTGACATCACAAGCCCGGTCAGATCGGCTTCAATATTGCGATGTCCAAAGATTTGCGCACCATCCAAACCGGTCAAAACCGAAAACAACCCACCCTATAGTTGGTTTCGAGGCATGCAAAAACATAAACGTGCCAAACCAAACCTCGCCCGGGCCTGTTTTTGTTTGGCCGAGCCGCCTCAGCAATTTCTACTTTATTGCATGGGCAGCCATAGATGTTGTTGAAAGAACGAAAGAGACCTTTGGATCGCATGACCCTGGGTCATCCTGTCTGGGTGTCCAATATAGTACCCTACACTGCTGAAGCTCCAAATGTTTGGACACCCAATTACATCAATCCGAAAGAACAGGGAGTCGTCAGAGCTCACGTTCTCCAGCGCTCTCCGGAGTCGTCCGTCTTCGCCAGGTGGCGCGGCTGCTCAGCTCCTCGCGGCCCCAGACCTTGCGCGTGCCCCGGAGACCGGTGCGGCGCTCGGTCGGATTAGACGGTGTGCGGAGCACGGGGGGGGTGAGGTGGTGAGAAGGATCGGAGAACCCAAAAGGATGCCGTTATTTGGTTGTTGTTTCGGTGGGTTTGGGCGATTGGAGAACCCTGAAGTACTAAGAGGTTTTTCTGGAGCGAAGTATATGCCTATGAGCGTAGAATTATGGATCCTTAGGGTTGTTCAGTTCCGGCCCTTGGGACGCCTTGTGCTGGCCCCTATAGGGTCGGCTGCAGATGTTTGGACCGTTAGAACATGTTACAACCACTATATAGGTGTTCGGATAGAAATACTTTAAGAGTCATGGGCATCATTCAGTTTGTTGATACAATATCTATATACATCACGTTGATACTATATAATATCTTAGTCAACATGACCTAACTCAGGTTGTTGATATGTTTTCACGATACAAGGGTGTTCTTCCACCAGTCCATCTTTGGAAGAGACAGGTCTTGATGTGAGCTGCGGAGTTTGGGGCAACAGTTTGTTGGTGAGCTTTCGACTGCACGACCCAAGAGGGATCGTGTGGCACTGGTCGCGGTCGCGCCGGTCGCGGTCAGTCACATGATCCTCCAGTTCGTGACCGAACTTTGGAAGTGCCATCCTTTCGTGACCTCAAAGTAGGCCCTGATTACCTGACCTCAGTGCCCAGGGGATCAAGTAACATCACTTTGAAGAACCAGGTTTCTGTACCTTGACCTTAGCACGCTGCTTCGAGCAACGGTTCGATGAACCTGCTTGATGAATAAACCCCCCAGCCATAATGAAGAGGTTTTTCCAATCCCAAGGGGCGGAAGTATGAATCTATTAATCTAGTTTAGGGCATCACCTACGGGATTGATGTATGTGTTTAATCCCTAGGGGTCTACATCATACCTAGTGAATATTGAAATGCTTGATCTATGTCCGCCTTTCTGTCACCGGGTGGGCCCACCCGAGACCCCTTCTCAGTCAGAAGGCCTTTGGGCCTTGGCCCCGGTCCCGACCGACCCACACCCGCGGCGCGCGCGCTGGGCCGCGCGAGCTGGGCCAGGAACAGACGGATCTGGACTTCGAGCACAGCAAACAGTGCCTCAACGTGGTCCGTGGGGGTGAAGGAGTCGATGTGGAGGCGGTTGACGGCTGGTCATGATGCTCGTCGCCATGTCCGGTACAGTACATGGCCCAAGCCCAAGCATCCGGAACCGAGTCTGGATGTCGATGATGTTCCATGTCGATGATGAACTTAGGATTCAAACTAGCCTTTACAGAAGAATCCTTGTTTCACTTAAGGGTGAAAAACCACAAAGCCAGGTCAACCATCTTTGAAATGGTCTTGGAAAGTAATGCACACTCCATGTCCATCTCGTCGGAATGGGATGGAGCGGCCGGGACCCGGGGAGGAGTTGGTCATCACTCGCGGCCCAGGTCCTTAATCCATGTCTTGCAGAGTTCGCCAAGAACACCCGGTTTCAACTCGCTCAAATCACCAGTGTAGAGTTCAGCAGTGCTGGCAATTCTGGCGGAGGTGCACCAGTTCTGAGTCCTGAGAGTGAAGTTCAACCAGATCTGAGTCGCCGACTTGAGAACTGATGTGTGTCTTTTTCCGCGTTTTCGTTCGTTTTGTCCACCAGCATCACCCACTAAGGACGCGCTTGGCTCAGGCCGCGTTGCGGCAAAGTGCCTTGTGTGTGGGCCGCGGCGCTTTCACCTTGGGCGCGCGGAGCCTCAGGGGGCGCACGGAGACAGCCGCGGGACTTGATGCCTCAGGCCGACAGATGCAGGCGATTACTAATAGCCATGCACCTGCTACTAGTAGCGATGCTCTGTTCTACTCGGACGACCGTGACGATCGTGGCGGCTCTATGCGTAGAGTTGACGCCTTTGGCTTTCGCGGAATACCACAGGTGGGGATTCGACGAAGAAATATCTGCTCCAACCCGACCAGGTGGGTCGTCCAAGTTCTGTGGGTCGCAGAACTGCGAAGAAAACATTGATTTGTCTACCTTGATGCGTTTTCAACACGTGATGCATCATTAACATGAAAGAAAGTTCTATATAGATGCATTACCGAAGAACAAGACTTGAACCACCTGCAGGGTTCACAGATCCTACTCTTTCTGTCCACTGTGCCACGCTCACCTCACCATCCGGGCCATGCTCCAGCCGTCCTCCGCACAGACGAGTCTGCAGCGAAGTACGGCAAGTGCGACTGGCGCGACGAAAGTAGGGAATGAGGAAACAGACCTCCCACGAGAGATTCCTTGAGGTCCAGCCACCCTCATTTCTTGCTTTCGTCGCACCGGATTGGAAAGGATATGACAGCTTTGCACCGTGAAGGGCGCTTGGAAGAGATTCTATGGGTGTGTGGTGAAATGGTGGCTCACCCCGAACCAATCATTGGGGCGCGGGCTTCATCATTTAGAATCTTGGCTCTCAGTTTTTCATTACTGGATAGCTAGCAGCAGCTAGGAGTCCAGGAGAGTGTCCACCGACAATATGATTTGGGCTCCAAACCCGTGTGACTAGGAGAGGGTTTTATTCATCAACACCCTGATTCACTGATGACTCATTTGACCCACATGATTTGATGACCAGGGTGGCATGGTTCATGAGTCAAGAAGGAAGTTCTGCCAATGAATGGGTTTAAGGGAACATCTACTGGAAACTCTGGCGTTCACTCCAAAAACTATGGGTGTCCTGATGTGTCCTGTATGTTTTCCCTTGAACCCGTTCCAACGAGGTTTTCCAGGATGTTTGAGAAACATGGAACAATGTCACGCTGTGGAGCTGAGGCTTTGCGTCCGCTACCCACTGAGCTGCTGCCCATCCCAGCGCTGGTGCTCTCCGGTCGATTCCCCCCACAGGCACTGACCGGGTGGAGTGTGCTGTCGTTGAAGAATCCTTTTTGGTGTGGCAAAACAGTCCGGAGCTCGCGGTTGAGGTCCGGCGGGGAACAGTGCCACACGACCCTCGCAGTTGAGGTCTGGCGAGGAACACTACCAGCCGAGGCTCGCGGTTGAGGACGATGCGGAGGAGAAGGAGGAGGAGGAGGAGGTCAGACAGCTGACATAAAATCTAACAACCCTCACCTGACAGGTGGGGAACAAAAAAGGGGAGCTGATCCAAAGGCCATAATGAAGGCGATTTGATGACCTGACAACGCGGCGGCAGTCAACCACGTCAAAGTGGTTCACCTGGCGTTCCGGGCGGACAACCCGCTCAGTACATTCACTACAGGATGGTGAAATAGTGCTTTACGCCAGTCGCTTGTAGATTTTTGTAGCATCTGGGCCATCTGGGACCTGAACATGATTTATCCAACACAATCCGAAATTGCAACACAGCTATTTTTCTTCATCTTGGGACTTCCGATACCTAGTCGTGACCATGAAAGAAATCAACAAGAAGCAAGAAACTTTGAACAAGTGGACCTGAAAGACCGTTTCTACTGTGGTGCAGCCTCCGGATCTTGTAGTGGTTCTCGTATATTCATGTTTCAATCCTTCTTCCTCCCCTGCCATTGGTCTGCGTCTCCTGGTGCTCCGTATGTATCTTGATGGCGGCGCCCTGCATCAATGGGAGAGCTCGATGTGGAGAAGCTCAAGGCGTACCTCAAGCAGAAGCAGGAGGCCAACAAGAGCTGGTTCATCGCTGATGCCGTGGCTTCGGTGGACATCAAGGAGCAGCTGGATGACATCGAGGCCAAGAAACGCGATGCGGCTGACTCCGGCGGTCCCTCCTCTCAGCCCTCCAAGAAGCCAAGGACGGACTACTGAGCTGGCGTGGATGAAGATGGTGATTGGATTTTTAAAATCCGCAATCTTACAGCAGGACGTAGCCCATGGCGAACACCTCTCCACTGTCGACCAGGTAGCCTGGAGAGCTGTGCAGCCCGATCTCGACAGCCTCCGGTAATCCACATTGGGAAACACCCTGTCACGCCACCTTCACAGAGACGGTCGCATCGGGATCATGGCGGGTAGGAAATAGGTAAAATGAATTGGTTTGGTAAGATTGATATTGCCTTGGCATGCGCACATACATACCTCATACACCATTGGTTCTGTGTAAATGCTGGAGTTTATGTTGCGCTGCTTCTTTATTTCTCAGTCAACACATACAGGACGTGCGGATTTGCACGTTTCTATTAAGCATACGTATAGCTAGTAATGTGTTATTGTATCACATGCGTACATGCTTTGATTATGTTGACTGGTAGCCCTGGGAATCACCCAGACAAGTAGGAGACTGTGAGATGTGAATGGAATAGAGAAAGGACGGAGATTGAACATTTTGGTGGATGCAGTGGATGCAACACCACTGGACAACGATTTTGCACGACACAATGCAGGAATATCGCAGAATTCAATTTGAACCTCAGGTTGAATCTGTCCAGACGTTCTATTGAAATCGGACGATCAAAGATTGTCTCGGAAGTCCCATCCGGACGTTGTCGGTACATTGTGAAAGTCATAGAGCAAAAGACCCCTTTTGCCTAAGATTTTAGGTGGGGTGTTAGGGATTTTGTGATGCGTACATGATCAGTTGAGGTGAACTGTTCACTAGTTGAAAACGACTCAACTCCGTTTACTGTTGCGATTTGGAATCAAAAAGGGCTGCGCCGTTTGTCACCATCGAACCCTCATAAACTCAAATACCGAGTTCCGGAGACGGGTTCGGGGCTTTGGGGGTTTTCTACGACCCATTTGTTCAAAGCATGTCTGAAACCCAGCACTCGCATTTCATGTGCCTGGGTGACTCACATTTGGCACTGGACAGTCCCTGAAGCTCCCGTTGGACCACGGCCGATGCGCTCGGTGTTGGGACGCCTCGGTGGTTGGGGACGCGCTGCCATCAGGCCGGGGTGCAATCGTTAGACCCCAGCCATCACGATGTGAAGCTCAACGTTGGGCGGCTCAGAGGGCGTTTTTAGATGCTGGAAGGAAGACCGGAAGAGTGTGGTTCATGGTTTTTAGTGGGGTTCATGGTTTTTTCACGATTGCAGTTGGGAAAGTGCCCAAGTGTTCAAGGTTCGTTTAATTTGAGGCTAGGTTTTCTTTGGATTGTGGTGACTACATCATGGACAATAAATGGACTACGGAAATATATGACCATAAGCAAGACCACGGTTCAAAGAAGATTGACTGGAAAAGAGGTCTGAAGATCTTGGATCCCTGCGATTTGCCGCTTTTGCCGGAATTGCCTTGAAAGGATGGGCGACTGTTGAATGATGCAAAAACCATCAAAAAAACGATTCCTCCAAACCGCCTGGCCGCACAGCATTGAATGATCCGGGAAGGGCAGCTATTCTCCAGAGGAAGGAATGCCTATTTTTGTTGCACGGCCGTGGCAAAGACATCTCACCTGAACACCACCAACATACGCGCATGTCAGAGAACCGCATCTCCTGCACTTTCAAACCGCCTCGCCGTCGTTTTCTTCGCGCAAGACGTTTCTCCCAACGACGCACGCAGAGCTGTTCACCTTTGAAGGTCCGACTCCCTTGACCGAAGTTGAGAGGAAAGACACACCCAGTCCCGAGCAGAAACCCAAGCAGAAAATGTCCCCCAACATGTCCCAAGCCCTTGTGATGGAATGGATCTCAATTGCCATAGTGGGTTGAAAAACCGTGGTCCCACAATCAAATGAGTGTTTTTCTCGCAGAAAAAGAACGATTTCACCACGTCCCTGAGGGTCCCTTGGAGTGGAGAGAGGTCAACTCCCTTGACGGCTGTCTCAATTGGGCCACTGATTCCTCACTCTCACTTGGAACTGTTTGGACAGCCTGCACTGTCGCCGATGTGCGTTTGGTTGTTGGATGACTTGCACATGGTTTGGGGCTGCATTGACCTTGCAAAACCCTGTTGCACACATACGTGATTGATTCCAAGCAACAAACTGTGCAATGTTTTTGGCATGTGGAATCGATCGTGCTGGGCCGAGTCATTGATCACACAGCGGGAAAACCAGGTCTGGGCCGAATTCAACAACGGCGTTGCTGCCGCGTTGCAGGCAGAACTTGCTCTGGGGAGGGGGGGTTCTTCGTTTGACGACAGGATGAAGAGACTCGTTTGCCCAGGATTTCGCCATGAAGAGACTCGTTGCTTGGAGGAGTCAGGCTTTGACCTATATACATCAAGGGTTCGATCGGAGGACTCGGTATTTCAAATCCCCCAGTCTTGGCAATAAACTTTAGGAGTAAATGTCCTTTGGGGATTTGGGCCCAAAAGGGGCTAGAACCAATAATATGGTTTCTTTTTAAGTTCAACAGTCTCAAGCACTACTGAAAGCGAACGAAATGACTTGTCACCTAAGGGTTGATCCCAATGATGTTTGATGTCTAAACAATAACCTTTTGGCTCATACCATGTCAACCATCAGTGCATCTCCTGATATCCTTAATGAGACACCCGCGGGTAGCGGAAACGACTCACAAGGAACGAGTTGCCAAGGTCCACGCCAGACGCACCCGCCGACGCCAGGTCGCCGCCTCCAGCGACGTCTCGCGCGGCTGGATCGCTCACCACAGGCCGAAGTGGAGCGGGGCCCGGGGGGCAAAGTGGGGGGGGCTCGTTGGCCTCCAAAAATGCAAGATGGCCAGGATCCCCTGATAGAGGAAAAGGGTCTTCCAGGGGCTTACTGTCCATGATCCATGATGGTTTCAGCCAATGTGTAGCCAATCTGTAGCCGAAAAAGTTGACATCACAAATCCTCCCCGCAGCTGTGAGGGACATTTGGAAGAGTACCAAAAAGTGGCCAAGTACTTGGGAAGCAACCACACACTATGAGTTGAAGAAGTGCCACAAAAAAGGAAAGCGCGTCCGCTACTTCCCTCAAAATTACGTAAAGACGAAGACTCAGATAGGCAGATAGAAGTGATAGAAGCGTCAAAGGTCACAAGCTATGACAGTTGTTGTATGTGTTTTTCCACGCATCCCATCGCCACACGATTCATAAATCTATTGTGGATGACGCGTTGCCAGGCTCCCGGACTCGGGGTTTTCTTCAGTTGTTCCACCACGTCTCAGTGCCCGAAAAACCACTCTTTCGTTGGTTTTTGGTGCCCTCTGACACACTATCAGTTAACATGAAATTGGAAAATGATCCCTTGCAAAAAAGACTACTTTACTCGACCAACAACAAAGGGGGGTCCACTTCCATGTTATTGAGTCAGAGTGTACCTCGATTCAACATACAGAAGCCACCTGGAGCCTTTGTGTCGTTCCTAAGATCCTAAGGTGGAATGGTGAAGTTGCTGGTGAAAACCAATCACCCTGACTCCTGAAGGGGCTTTAAGGTTTAGGGTGTGAAAAAGGGAGACGTCCCGGTGTGGGTTCGTCAAGAGGCCAAGAACACATAGGAAAGTATTGAAATAAGGAGACCCTTAAAGACCCCTGGTAAAACTTTCAGACCCGAACAATCAATGGGTTTTGGTCTATTTCCCTTCTTCCAGGGAGTTTTTGCGAGGTCTTCGTATTTCAATAAAACGCCCAGATATGGAATAGATTTGAATCTACCCCATGAGTGTTTGGCCGAAATCGTGGCCTTTTGTGCCGCGGAAGCGAAGCAGAGGCTACCCTGCTTCGCTAGTCTATTTCAAAGCGGAAATGGTTGTATGGTTGTTGAGTGAGGCGACGATTTCATTGGCCTTTCGTGGGGCCCCAGGATATTGTGTTTGGTTGCGACATGTGGCGATGATATTGATGTTTCCTGTTGAGTGTTGCTGGAACACAGGAACTCAACATGTCAACATGTCCACTTCACATTAATTGTCTTTTCGATTTCACTGGCGGGCAAAATCCAAACTGATCCGACCCATGATCGCTAAGTCAGCTGGGTTGAGAGGCTGAGTATCCAGGCTTCCTCGTACTTTGGCTCCAAGCTGTAGTCGGACTGACCATCGACTTGACATCATCGCAGCAAGGAAGAACTGCAAAGAAGTTCCATGGAGCTCGGACAAGCTTTGATCTCAGACCGCTCAGTTTGTGGACATCTATTCACCTGCTCAAAGCGCATACGAAATGACTCTCTGGTGGGTCACCCAGAGAAGCGATACTGGCAGACCCTGCGCCATGATTTGAAAAGATTTCCACCACAAACGCCTGCGACTTCGGCGTTGGAAACTCGGATCGCGACTCGAAGCGACTAGAGCGAAGCGACCTGCATGCGCGAACCTCACCATCCGAGCATGGGAAGACCCCCAGACAGCAGGGCCCGGCTCGTCTCACTTGTACTGAACCCATCACCCCGATGTTCCTCCGACCGAGTGCGAAGTCGAGCGGGAAGTCGAGCGGCGCCACGAGCGGTGCCATGGAGCCCTGTCGCTATCCGGAGAATCCCAAGGAGGAGGCAGGTTAGGGCCGGCATGGACGTCGTTTCAAGATGAGAAGAGGCAAACAAAGCAACTAGCCTATCAATTAGAAAGGGTGCTCAGCTTCATAAGCTTGACTGGGAGTTCTGTTAGGTGAACAGAAATCCCGAAGTACGGAAAATGCGTTTTGGCCCAGTGTTCCGCTGATTTCACTGATTGCCAGGTAATCTATGACCCCTACACACACGCTGCCAGCCAGTCGAGCAGGATGATGATTTTGTGACTTGGATGGGTCCGGGAAAACACGGTTTTCGACCCTTGTTCCCTATTGGGGTGTTGTTGTGTTTGTTGCTTGCTCCCTATGGGGTGTTGTTGCTTTTTGCTTGATCCCTATGATTCCTGGCCCAGGCCTTGATCGTGCGTGGGCCTTGAACAAACATGGTTCACTCGAAAACCAGGTCAACCTGGTCTTGCAAGGCTTAGAACCACAGCAGCTAAATCCTCGGTCGCACCCGGGCAAAAGTGTAGCAACCAGAATCGCATCTAGCCAGAAGGCGAAGCACATTGAACTGAAGCGATTCTTCAGTCAACAAACAACTGGTGCTCAATGTGCACATGACAATTCACAAGATACCGGCACGGCCGGACAACATGTCCGACTATCTCAAAAGCGTGTTCGACGCATGGAGACGCCGCAAGAGGGACGAGAGCAGAACCGCACCCGTGCATGCACCATGCACGCGGACCACGGCACATCATGCACGCTGTTCTCGCCATGGAGCCCTTCGCTGTTTCTACGCTTCATGCGTTTGAAGAGACCATCCTATGTTTGCCGAACGGTTTGTTTGTCTAAGACTTATAAGACAACAGAGAAGACTATCGCAAAGCAGGCGATTCAATCAGGTCCTTTTGGCACGACGTGTGTACTATACATCCACAAATCGAGGGACGGTCTGAAGAGACAAGTTGTTTACACCAATGAGTGAGAATCTCACTATGCAATACAAAATGAATGGGTGCTGCGCTCGCCGACAACCAGCTACTCAACCACCTCCGCAGACTCTGCAGACTTGATTTTTACTTGGTTGTTTCTGAGTGGGTGGCACGAGGGAAGGGAATGAGTTGAACAGCATGTTTTGAGTATTGCATACAAACGCTACAACGCCCAAAACAGGTCTAGAACTTTGTACAGTATAGACTCATTCTAGAGTCTAGAACTTGTGCGAACCTGTTCTGAGGGAAGGGAATGAGTTGAACAGTATTCACGCATCTTTTTTTCGGAATCTAGACTCTAGATTTTAGCCCCCACCCCAGAGAGTAGAATCTAATTTATTGTTTTTGGGATAAAAAAGTCTTCAATGAGTTGAACCGTAGTCATGATACTTGTAGCACTTGCAGCTCTTTGGACCATTGGTCAGCTCTTTGGACCACACCCCAAAGGGGGTTAAAACACGGACGCGCAGCCAGGTGATCCCGAAGTTTCTCGTTGAGAATCTCTCATTGCCGCAAAAGAAGATCGTAGATCGTGTGTCGTGGCGTGTCGTGAGGTACATCTTGGCTGCCCTCCTCTTGGTCGCAAGCCTTGGGAGTTGGCAAGCCTTGGGCCCCAAAGAGCTTGGGGAGGACGCGAGGGACATGGAGGGACATCGAAATCACCTCGTCGCGTGGAGTGCGAAAAGACCATTGTGGCAACCGGTGTTCGTTCATGACAAGCTGAGGACGTTTGAGAGCCTGTGACTTGTGAGGCATTTTTTTACCATCTACAGAGTTTCTCTCTGAGAGTTTGGTTGTTTCGTTCAGTGAGACGTCTATGCTGACCCACATCTGCGATTCAATCCACGAGGTGTGGTCGCCAAATGTAGCCAAGCAAGGAAGCTATTATTTATGAAAGAATCAGGTCATCTCGCACCGTGTCGCGAGAGGAAGTCTTGCCCGACTCGAAGTCATTCGGCTCATTAAACTTGGATGATACTTCGCAGGTTCGCACCACGAAATGTTCAAGAGATGTTCACCAGTGCATCCCTAAGGATGGCTTCTAGCAAGATGTTGGAAGGTCTCCAAAGCAGCACCCCTGGAAGCTGCTGGTAGTGGACTCTTCAGTTGGTTTGGGTCGACGTTTCAGTGGTTCAGGATTTGTTCTGGCCAGGACACCAAAGTCACCCAGGAGCACCAGCGGGTGCGAAAGTTCAAGAGGCCGAGCTGAGTCGAGCTAAAGAGGTTGAAGCGACGAGAGTCGTGGTCTTCGTGGCGGTCGGAAAGGATGAAGTCACGTGAAGGGCGAGGTCACCAATGACGATGTAGGTTTAAGATGGTTTAAGCACTATATATAAAGATGATTTGACGAATCACCAAGCTTTCCGGAGAGCACGGCCAACCTGCACACTGGTAGTGTTCATTCAGAAGTGCTCCTGCAACGGATCTTTCGTATCCTTTCAATCTCCGTGGGTGCAGCAGGAAGACCTGTCCAACAGTCTCCCTTCGGTGCGGTTGTGGATCAAAATACGCCAGATGCTAAGATTGAATGGGGGTTCTGACGATGAGGTTGAGTTTCTTGGCCCTCCGAGCGATCACGGAAGAACTGCCGTCCTCAAGTCTTTTAGGTGCTCAATTGCGGAAGAAGCCGTTCTGAAGTGTTCGGCAATGATCAAGAATCATGATTTCTGCTGAAAGCGTTTGAAGTTATATATACATCTTTGAGGTTTCGATTCCCACCTTTGTCCAGGTCGTGAGGTCCTTGATGGTCCTTGTCAACAGCCTACTGCCTTACAGATTACAATAGGAATATTGTGCGACCAGAGGATTGTCTACTCGATGCACCTCCACGTCTTTGGTAGTAAGTAGTGGTTGTTGCTTTTAGAACAAAATAAGCGACCCTTGTTACTAGTAGGGATGCCAAAAAGCAGCAGGTATTTCTACACCTTCTACTTCCTCCTCAGCAGTGTCGGCTCCCTCCTCGAAGCCTTTGCGGTGACCTTCCTCACCGAGACCACCAACGGACCACTGGTGCTGCTCGCGCGGCTCGTGGATGTTCTGGCCTTGGCACCGATGTTCTCCTGGGCGACCTTGATCTTCGAGTCGCTGCCGCTGGGCGCAGCTCGAGCGAGCGGAGGGACCGTGTGAGGAGGGAGCGGTGGGAGCCGGCGATGGTCGGACGGTGACCTGATGACTTGAAATCCCCAAAAAGGACGGCTTGCTGTCGAAGGATGGCTAGATCCTTC